TACAAGATTGGTTTGAGTTTTGCATTTGGATAAGCGACAAAAATTATGCTAGGCAGTATGTTTCTAAAAACAATGTGTTGAACTTGATCATTTTAGGTCAATGACCTATTCTGACTTCTAAGAAGTCCATGGAAGATGCATAATGCGGTTCCTGCCATCAGTAAATTTGAAACAAGCACCACGAACTATCCCATACCGCAAGCCCTAGAGTAATAAAACAGGCTGGTTTTAACCTTAGTCTGACCTTCATACCTGACCTTAGGTCAACGTAATTTGTTCATTCAATATTTGTGTTGTCTGAGAAAGCATCTCAGAGATGTATGGCTTCGTCCAACACTCTGTTGTTGCATTAGATTGAACGATTCCCTAGAAATTGACTTCGCTGAAACCATGGAGGTCAGCGACCTTACAAGGTATATCTAAATTTTTGGCGGCAAACGATCCGCTATTCAATTGTCTACAGCTATCCAAATTTTAGCGCGGCTGCGCCGCGCCGTTCGGAACCCATTCTGGAAAAACCTTCGGGGGGGGGGGGGCAATTTGACCCCCACCCGAGCGCGTGTTAAAAGCAAACCCATGCTTAGAAATGAGCATATCTCATTCTATCTGATGTATTTTTTAATGTGGAACGTTTCATGAGCAGACATGGAGCTGGCGTAGCCTACGATTTTCATGACATTGTTAAAAGTCGATGATGAAACGTCACCACTAAACAGGCTCAAAAAGCTGTAGACCATTACTGAAGATTTGATAGACTTTTGTTGCCATTATTAGACTACTTGAACAATGCGGATGGAATTCACGGAGCGCTAGGTCCGCTAGGTCTAAGACTTCGCAGCCCCCCCCCCCCCCCCCTCCCCTCCTATGTGCATTGGGCACTGACACACTTAAGAAGCACCTTAATGGGAAATGCTTCACATTGGAAAATATGAAGACAAACATCAGTTGTGATGGAAAAAAAACTAACGATAGGTAAGTTTTCAAGTGCAGAAACTGCTCTAGATAACAAAACCTTGCTGTTCAGTAACCGCGTTGCACAATGTGCCATCGTTTGATTGCGTCATGAAACGATCGAGGCCATCAGAGTCGCTGACAGACTGACCATGCCAGAACTGTTTCTGTAGTGGACGGAAAGACTCACTCGTAGTAATTCAAAGAGACAAAAAGAGGCTTGTCAATCTATGCGCATCGTTTACCCGGCCATCGTTATTTGCGCAATTTTGGCCGTTTCTAGCGGTTTTCTTGCGTATTTACCGTGGTTTTGTATGTTTTACTCACATTCGCGTTCTCGGTTACGTCGCTGCTCTTGCGTCATTTGATTTCCAGTCTCATGTTCATCATTACTAGCAGGGCTGCCCAATTACCCATGCTGTGCATCACAAGACGTGGTTTGTGATCGGGACCTGCATTTAACGCATTGAGGCGGTTGAAAGACACCAGCTGTCAGTTCATGCAGCGAATAGTGCTGACATTCTCCAGACACGAATAAGCCGATGGCCATATTTGTCTTGATCTTGCACACGATATGGTTATTGGTGAGACGGCATTTGTCTGACGTCTCTATGGCTTCATACATCTCTAGGTCACTTCACAACAGGCGGCGGAAAATAGCCTGCACAAGCTTGCGCACGGCTGAGAGGATTTAAGATATAAAAACATGACCTTGAATTGTAAGGAGTTATCTTGAAAAATCTTACCTCAGTTCAGCACCCATGCAAATGTAGAACATTCGTTTAAAGCATCACGTCGGCGACATTACGAAAATGTTTTTTATCGTGCAGCAGCTTCCACCCCGCAAAAAACCGCAGTGGCTAAGCCGTGGTCACGAAAAATAAACTCGGTACATCCTATACTGGTTTGCCTGCGGTAAATGGACTACGATGCTTTTATTGTTATAATTTTGTTGTGATCTCAATGAGTAGTAGCTCGCATCTAGCGCGAGCAAATCAAAAGTGGTGACGAGTTTTTCGTTAACTCCTAATCCACGAATCCACGGGCTTAGCACAGGATTACTGGAGAGGAACGGGATTGGGCACTTAAAATACGGTCCCATAATTGGCTGGCAATTCTTCATGCAGCCGCATGTTGTTTGTGAACATTTCATTGCAACCAACCGCTTGATACGTAACTTCGAGCCTCCAGTTTTTCCCGAACGGATACCGAAATCGAAACGGACATTGGTCGTCGAACTGTCATTCACCAACCTTTCGACCAGATCAGGGGGAGGCTGCCTTTCTAATTGTGAACATAGAGGTGGGGGTGTCTTGTTAATAATTGCATTAAGTTGTTTGGTGTCCTAGCATGGAACAAACAGATGCATTGCACACCAGATGGTACATCTCACTAACGGGTCGGTCCACCATGTCAAAAATTACCAACTCCAAAAGAACACTTAAAACCATGCGAACATGCACAGGCATTTCTTCGAGCAAAAACGCTGTACATGACATTGGCACGTGGACATGCTGTTGAAAAAATCATCAGGAGGAAGGCGGCGCGTAAGGTATGTTATAACATATCGTGTAGATTTAGACGAAAATTTGTGAGTGGTATGTTAAATAGCTACGATAGAAATTTCAGTCATCGAAATTATTGCGAGCCTTAATTAGGAATCTTCTCATATAGTTTGGTCCGACGACAGCTTACAAGCCAAAGCAAGATGTAGAGTTTCCCTTTACAAATTCCGGTTTCGGCTCGGTCATAATTCACAGGTATGACCGATGTCTTAATGGCTTACTTGAATTAGTTTACAAGTGACGGTTACCCACACAGTCCAGTACATATTGAAAATTGCATGAGTGACAAGATACATTAATTCCAGGCAAACAATAAGACGAAAAAACCACACACCCAAGTCCGCCCTCTACATCATGCACATGGGCAACGCGTGCGTCTGCGCCAGCTGCTGCTGCGACACACTGCAGAGCAAGACGTGCATGCGGGTGGGACCGGAGCCGGCGGCGCCGCTGCCGGACCTGCCGCCCGAGGGGCTGCCGCAGTCCTTCCCCAACCCATCGCCGCAGGCGTCCAGCGTGCTGGTGGCCAAGCGGCACGTGCATGGACCTCGGCACTGCAGGTCACCGTTCTGCGCTGCCGACCAGAGGCTCTATCTCCGGCCGCTGCAGGAGGGCGGCGGAGATTGACGCCGCGGTTACGCCGTCTGAGTGCCCAGCGGGTTTGGGCTTGGCCATTTGTGGCTGTTTACAGGCGCTAAGTCTCTTAAATATACGTGGAATGTAAGTTGCAAGATATTCTGGTCATCCTAGTCCTGAAGAGAGATTTGTGTCAAGCCCGATGTGAACAAAATACACACAACTATTGCAGAGAGCGCGTGTCGATAGCATGTGTAACACGCTTGAGTCTGTCCAGCGAAACAATATTGGCCTGGAATCTGGCATTTAGACTTCGCCAGCCGTGGGAGAAGGCAGATGTGCACAAAGCAAGACCTGATCAGTCGTCTTCGGGAGAGGACCATATGAAGACACATCTTGTGAGGACTAAACCAACGGGGCAGCCACCCCACCACTCTATCCCTCATCCCATCTCGTCTCACGTGCCACGAGTGTGTTTGTGAGTCGCGCTCTTGCCGGCGCACGCGAAAGTCACGGCATCCTCCGTGACATTGGTGCATGTGTGAAGAACTCGCGTGGGCCGAACACACAGACCCAGTGATGCGCATCAAAACGCCTGTCGGGAGAGGAACTGCTTGGAAGTTAGAGATGCTTTGCAGCCACGACCAGCCTGCGTGCACATGTTGCATCAGGTCTTTCTGTCGCTTTTCCAACTACACAACGTTATCAGCCGAATCATCCGTGGAGTTACGACATGAATGATGAGATTCGAACCTCCCTCCGGAGGCGCCAATGACCCCAAATTCCCTCCAGAATGTCGACACGGGTGCGTGTCTCCACCAGCACCGGGTCCTTATGAATGGTCGACCATCAAAGTGCCTCCGTTTAATTTCAGCGTTGTGAGTCATGATTGGCAACCAATTTGATGTTTCGTTGGGAGCCACGGCATTATTCGGAGAGGCGTGGATCCCGTAGTAGACGCTGACCTTGAGTAAGCTTTCACCGCGTGTGACCATTTCGCTTGAAATAAGCAGTTTAGGAATATGTGCTTGTAAAGTCCATGCAGTCCGCTTAAGCATCCCGAAGGTGTGCTTCTGACGGTATGGGATACTGCGTAAACTGCGGTATGCACGTTTCTTACCATCCAAATAATATTTCAGGACAACCTGATGAAATGGAGTACGTTTTTTCAGGGACGGCGCCGAATGCCCGGGGCAGCTTAGGCGCTGAAGCGGGACTTCGTCATCTAGGCACATGCATGGCTATGGCCTGTGCACGGTTTTCTTTCCACTTGCTCTCAAGCCAATTAGCTCCCAATCGACGTTCAGATCCACTGGATCCAGGCCCAAAGTTACGTACCCTGCTCTCTCGTATCGATTCCCATTGGATGCAACAGTTTGTGCGGATGGTGATGCCAAGTAGCTGAGCTTAAGCTCGAGGGTCAATCTTTGGCCAAAATGTTAGCGGAAGCTTGGTCATAGCCAAGGTTTTTAACTAACAGCCTTGGCTTGGGTTGGTTGAGGCATGTCTTAGTGCCCAAGCTATCGGCGCGTGGCTAAGGCATGTTTTAATGGAGCAAATCAAAGAAGAAATGCTACTTAAATAACGTCTGAATTTTTCTATGAGATCATGAAAGATTTAAAGCAAGTGTTGGCGGCTGCATAGGTGGTTGAATATCTGGATAAATTGGCGTTATGCAATGGGTCGAAATATACCACATCAAAGGAGTTTTACCACGGTACGAGGTTGCGAACTATTTTTGAAAAGATACTGAATTGGGCTCAATCTTTTTGGTTAGACGGTGCCTAAAGAGCCCTAGAAGAAACGCTCCCACTCCGTTTTTAAACTTGACTATTTTCCTGCGTGCTATCGTTCTGGGCTGTAAGCACACTCGCAGAGCGTCCATTCTCACCAGCACCATCAGCAATGTAGCTAAATTTAGTTTTTATTGCACCAGCATCAGTGGTTTGGACTTCACTCACGACGACTTTCTCCCACATCTTGGCATTATGTGTGCCAAAAACATGGATGCGCAGGAGCTGGACACTGTGTTCGGCAATAAACGTCATCACAACACGAGACACTCGCAGGCGATTGCTCTGTGTAAACATATTTCAGAGCTGCTTTCTCCGGTGCCAAAGATGCATCAAATGTGGCAAACTGAATGACAAATCTTTACATAATTCGAAGGCAATATATTAAAGATGTGCTTCAGGAGAAGGCTAACCAACACGATGCAATAAACGTCATCGAGCCCAATGCATCGCACGAATAGGCGATGGGGCTGAATCAGTATTTCTAGCTCTACCAGGTAGACTTTTAACAAGGTTTTGGCAAGGATGTTTGTTCACTTTCCGGGCAACATATAGCAAACAACATTCGTCACTAGGGCCACAGCTGGTCATCCATTGACGCCTCAAGGTACCAGCATCGTTTTACATAGTGAACCCATAGAGCACATTCCTTTAACATTCCTCGGAAGGACGCATGCAACACCGTGCAACAGACCAATCATCACCACAAAATATTCACAAAGACGTCCATTCCTTTCATGGCAAGGAAGGCGACTCAGCCGAGCACTTAACATAATCAACACACACCAAAAGCACGCTCACGTTCGCAGCACGAATCGATGTGGTGCGTTTTGGGTCCAGCTACTGGCCAAGCTGCGCTTCCAGGGCCTCGACATCGTCCAGCGTCTCCAGGCGGTTGTTGAGCCTCCTTCGCTTCTTCTCGTCTTCAGCGCGCATGCGGTCGAAGATGTTGAACTTCTCGAAGTACTTGACACTGGCATAGTAGCTCTCGGAGCGGTCACATGGCAGCGCCAGCGTCTCCTCCCGGCAGGTGAGCGTGCGCTGGTCGAACCGCGTGCCGTTGTTACAGAAGAGGCTGCCGGCACCACAGGCAAGGTCAGAGGAAGCCAGCACGCAAAGCGGTGAACAAACTGACCAGTGTACGTGACAGGGATTTCGTTCCCGTCAAGAGCAGTTGAAGATAAAGATGCATCGAATAGCTGGAAACGGCTTGAGCTTCTCGCGAAAGCAGCCATTGTTTTCCACAGTGCATGAGATAGAGCGAAGAAATTTGTCTGACTCAGTGTTCATAGAATGACAATAGCCCACTTTGCTTTCCAACACACGACGTTTCAGGGACAGGCCACTTTCATTCCGCTGGCTGCGTCTGCGTGTATGACATAGCGGAGTTTAACTGATGATGTTGTGCATTGTCCACACGTAGTCATCGTTGCGACACACTGTGAGGCTTAAAGCCATGAAGCACGTGTGCCGGTGGATAGGTTATGCAAATGTATGCATATGGCCAGTCGACCCCTGCATTACCGGACAGCGAGGAGGTGAAGGTCGGGCGACAGTACGTGACTCTCCCGTGATTATCATCGCCATTGCCCCATCCACTTACGGGAATGTGACTATTTTCTTCTGAAACGCCCGGTAGTCGTAAAACAAGACTCGTCATCGATCGCTAGCCAACAGACATGCCATTCATCGCGGGTCTACAAATGGTCGCAGCATTTTCTGCCGCGTCGCAGCTATTCCTGCGGCGAACCTGTGTTTGAGGTTCTGCTCGAAGCCGTCCGCGTGGACGACCGGCGTGCAGATGTGGAAGACCTGACAGTCAGCCTGGATGTCAGCGTAGTAGCCGTACGGCCGGTCCTTGCAGCTGTAAAGGACGACGGAAACGTCAGTCGCCTGATACCCGTGCAGCGAGCGTTTCATCACACCACCGACTATCCGTCATGACCAGCTTACGACACCATGCGCCACGCTAAGCATTTCTGCGTAGGGAAATCGAAGAAGCACGCAGTCACCCATCGATGACTGGCGATCGTGGCTTCGATTTCATCGAGGATTGGTGGCGACACGGCTAGGCATTGCCACCACAGCCAATAAATTTGACGCCGCGAAGCGAATAGAAATTGCCTCACTTCTGACGCGACAAAGACATTGGTGGGCGATGAGACACATCGGCACGGATAGACGATAGATAATCAGCGACGTATTTCCCAAGCTCGTGTTGGCAGCACACTCGGCATCAGTTAAGGCCACGTCCACACGATACTTATGCCGCGCATGGGGCCTTGGAGTGCCAGGTTCGTCACGGGCGCCCGGTCCGTGGTCTGTCTGTCCAGCGGTCTGACGGTCCGGTGGTCCGGTGGTCCGGTGGTCCGGCGGTCCGGCGGTCCGGTGGTCCAGCGGTCCGGTGGTCCGGTGGTCCGGTGGTCCGGCGGCCAGCTCGCCGGACCAGCAATCATCAGTCGGGCCGCCGGCGGCGCGTCCGGCAGTCCGGTGTTTAGCTCCGCGGGGCGAGTCGGTTCGGGCCAGAAGTTACTGGCGTGGTAGCGCCAACGTCCGTGCCCCGCACAGCCATGTGACCAGTTAGTGTGTGATGTATGAGCAGGCGGGATGGTTCTGCCTTCAAAACAAATTATTTTCAGGTAGTTGACGGCAAACTGCGAACACAACTCAAACAAGATCAATGCCCATTCACGTCTGAGCCCGCGGTTGACGCATACCAATACCATCGAAACAAAGAAAATTCCGTTGCCTCTTACGCCATCGCATTGCCGATGGAAGCCGATGCGTCTGCGTGTGAGTTAGACCGGTGGCATTGTGAATCCCACATGACAAACATCAGAAGTTCGGTTCATTAATCCGTTCGCCGTCCGATCCATCTCAGACAATGGCACCTCCTCATCTTTGTCATGTGGCCCGAATGTGGCGAAACGCAGCGCTACTCAACCGGGACAACTTGCCTGCGGTTCACGTCTGTCGTCTATGGAGCTTTCAGTTACAACGACCGTATGGTTCAAAATCAGTTCCCGATCGCGGCTCGGGCGAGCAGTAGCTGGGACCGTTGTGCCTGCTTGGCGAGGCTCGGCGAACAAGTGCCACACCTGAGCTCCAAAATGAAATTGCAAAACATGAGCTAGCAAGGGAACTTGCATAAATGTACTTCCGTTTATTACTGTAATCTGGCATCTTGGGGACTGCTTCCAATGAACATAAAGGTCACTAAAGTTTGTGTAGCTAATGTCCGTAACACTAAAGGTATTAAACTTTGTGGGTATGGTTCAGTTACTACGTCATTACTTGAATGCGTTCAGAGGTCCCTATTATAATGCAAAATGCAGTCACTGATGGCACACCGCGCATAACTGACAAACCACGCATTCAGAAGAAAACATAACTGAATGAAGTTTTCTACCGTGTATATCTGACATCAGGGCAAACCATGTGAGAAGGCACAGCCGGCGGCGGTATTTTCTTCGATATTAGTAAACTCAGATCGTTATTCCCGCTGCAAGTCTTTCCCACCTTCAAAGTTTCATAAACAGAGGACTTGATCAGCCAGCTCAGACAACGCGTCTCGGCACCGGAGGACCTCTCGTGCAGCTGATCCCACAGGAGCGGCCATACCGGCTCCACACCCCAGCTCAGGCGGCAGGCAGGGCGAGTCAACTGGTTTGGCTGGCGCCGGCCGCCGGCTTTGCCTAACTTACAATTCCAACACGTGACACCCGAGGCACGTGTCTCGGCTCGGGGTACTCATCGCCGCCGTGGCTGCTGACAGCCACCGACGGTAAGCGGCTGGGCCCGAGGCACGTGTCTCGGCTCGGGGCACGCATGGCCGCCGTGGCTGCTGACAGCCACCGACGGTGGGGGGGGCTCGACTCCTCCAGCCGTGCACAGATGGGCCATTGGCCGCAGCAGTGGCGCGGGCCGCCGCCGGTGGGCAGGGGGCCTCTGAAGGTTACGGCGCATGGGGCGCTGCCGAGCCGGCCAGCTTTCCTGGAAGTCAGCTACCGGGGTTTGCGTTGTGTCACGAGGATCGCGATTTGTTACAGGAGCGAGGCCGTCAGCTGCGACGTCCGGTGGAAATGCCACTGACTCAGTGATGCCGCCTGGGTGATACCGTATTACGCTGAATCAGTGATGCCGGCTTCATTGTTACGGTTTGGACGAAACTGATCTGAGAATTGTAACCCTGAAAAAACTTTAAAAGCTTTGAAACTGTTGAGTCACTGTTGAAAACATGTGGCATGGATCGATAATGGCCCACTTGCCAGTGGATCTCTCTCAGTTTATGAACCCCGATCGTGAATTGGTCAAGTACCAACTGTCAGCCCATTGTATTCCTATCGTCCGGATGCACTTAACCACCGCCCGCAACACTTACCACCGCTACCAACGTCAATTCAGCCGGCCATGCACTAGCCATAATGTGTCAAAACTTAAGCTAGGGAGGCCACACTTAGGGCTTTGTGATCACATGGCCGTTTCGCAACCGCATCAAGTGGGATATTCTGCAAAGCTGACGGTTCGCTAGACAATTACCTTCAAGCCTGTTAGAAAAGCTGTGCGTAACTAGTAAGCCATCAGCTCGTTCACGTGGGGTCCAGTGAAAGTGGCTTCATCATATTCGACAGCTCAGCTTTCTCTTTTGTGCCTCGTTGCATAGCTGCTGAGCGCCCGTTTGGCGCCTTGTGTAGCCATACCGTACCATGCAAGTCGGGTCGACAATGAGGCAACGGACTAACGAAACTGCCACCAGCCCCGCCCAGCGCTGCAGAAATATCTCCAATCCCATTAATCCGGACGGCCACCTTGGCGCGTGACTCAGGTGCAGTTGGACTCCGAGTGACCGACTCTGAACCGGAAGTCGACGGCGCTGAGTCAGCGCCGCGTCCCGTGGTGTTTCGTGCCCCGCGTCTACCCCGCACAGGTCAGCAGGGTGACTCGCCGTCCTCCCACGCCCTGCACCGGCCCATCCCAGCGCCGGTCACCGACAGCCCGCGGGGAGCGTGGCGAAGGAGCGGTCGGACTGGCCGGTCAGCTCGGCTGCCTGCATACTGAGGAGCGCCGGTCACCGACAGCCCGCGGGGAGCGTGGCGAAGGAACGGTCGGACTGGCCGGTCAGCTCGGCTGCCTGCATACTGAGGCGTCCAGCGGCGAGCGGTGTGCACGTGGGGTCACGTGGTCGGTGTACCTCTGCATCTGCGGCGCATCGGGATAGCCCCAGCCGGCGGTCTACTGCCAGCGACCTTGACGAAACGGGCCCGACTCTGCGCGCGTGCACCGCACGTGCGGGCACAAACGTGCAGACAGTGCACCTTGTAGCGGCCCAGTGTGAAAGTGTAGCGATGGCAGCGTAGACACCATGCAATAAGAAGTGGGAAAGCGCGTGGTTTGTCACAAACGACTGCCTCAAATCCTGGTACGTTTCATATCACAGACGTAATCTACTTTGGACATTTTTCCCCGTGGGATTAGTGGTTTTCAGGCAAGACTTCGTCAGACAAGCATTTAGAGGAGAATAATTCGTCGCGCGGTAATTGGTGTGGGTAAAGATTTGTCGGAGGAAAGGTTATCTAAGGCAAAAGCTTGTTTTGCTACGTGCATTTGACACGATTTGTACACGAAATAAAACCTTTGCAAAAAGTAGCATAAATACCTGAAGTTGGATGCAATTTAGGCAGATTGTTACATGTGCTGACGCTTTGAAGCTCCCCGAAACTTTGCGTAGGCCTAAATGCTTGTCGCCGTTGGAAGAGTGACGTAGTTTGTGTTTCCACCAGTTTACCTTACTGAACTGGAGCCGATCTCAGCAGCCTCTTATCAGCTCCCATAACCTCGATATGTTGTTCGCTGCTCTTTTTGACAGCACAAAGGTGCAAGCTTTTCAAAATGAAGCGTTCGCCACCATGTGAACACTTTTGCCCTTGATAAGTTCTTTCCAACGAAACTTTGTCACAGACAGTAGTTTGTCCCGGGCAATTATTTTCCCTCAAAGAAATTAGGCAATGCAATCTTAAGCATGACGGACTTTTGCCTTATAAGAACTTCAGTACGACGAACTTTTGTCCTCGACAATCTTGTGTCCTGTGCAAACGTTTGCGCAATGCAAACTTGAGCACCACGGAGATTCGTCCAGTACAAACGTTCGTCCTTCACGAACTTTTACATGACTAACTGTTGTGCAACGAACTGAAGTCATGCGCGCTTATCACCTACAAACTTCTGCCATCTGCTTTTATCCTCAAGTTGAAACTAACATGTTCACGCCAGAGTATCAATCGAAGCCCAAATGAAGTCCCACCTCCACCATCTTAAAGGAGTTCAATTGCTTCTGCTTCAATTGCAGATGCAGTCTAAGGGACCCCACCATTCCTTTAAAGCGTCATGCATCTGCATAATGCAACACATAATGAACCAAAGTACGGAAACCTTGCCCTCATCCCAAAACATTTTACCAAACTTCCAAACAGGCTGCACGGTGCAGCCCAACCATGAGCTATGTGGAAAATGACATGATGCAACTAAAAGGTGACATGTGGAAGCTAGGTTTCTGAATTCGACACGTCAAATATCTTGTGACTCGTAATACTTTATACAAATATTTTGACCTCGCGACGTGCACATTCCGAAACACTAGAATACTTCCGCTAAAAAATCTGCCAGGTGCTCCGTACAGCAGGCAGCCTGATCTCACCTTGCGATATTTCGACCAGCGCGGTGCTGTTGACCAGGGCATTAAAGAGTTTAAGTGTTGGCATGCCATTTGTTCTCTAGAAAAAATCGTAGAGCAAGATTTGAACGCCTTCGGAAGTCCGTAAGACTCATATAGATACATTTCAAAATAAGCACGATAGGCGCTTTACTTGATGACCGCATCGAGGTCCGAGAAACGAAGTATTGCTTTCTTCGTATTACGTTATGCGTAACGCAACATTTCGCGCTATCTCACACGCCACGGCTCAGTAACTATTGTGCTTGCGTCGGACCCTTCGCAGGTGTGGGGGGGGGGGGGGGCAGGACGGCGCCGGTCATCCTGGCAGAATTTTGTCCGAGGCGATATCCAGTTCCCTTATAATTTAGCGGCTTTAAAAGCCTCTATTTGGGATCTGAGTTCCCGCTTGATTCGTCACAAATCCAATAAAAAAGTCGAATCTCATTAAGAGCCGCCAACGCCTCACTACCTACAGACTAGTCATGTGCACCTGAGCCCGAACGATCCCTGGCTTGGAACATTAATATAAAAACAGAAGACGTTGCCTCCGTCACAAGCACCGTACCACGTCAGTCCACGACACCGGTGAGGTCCGTGACCCCGCACTGACCTGAACGTCGAGGGCGGCATATCCTTCAGCACGGTCTTGGAGCCGCCGGGCAGGCGGCGGTGCAGGGCGTTGATCTCGTTCTCGCGGGTGTCCTGCGCCTGCGGCCGCCGGTTGGAGGTGGCCGGGATGCGCCGCACTGAGGCTACCGGCGACAGCGGCGGCTCTTGCAGCGCCGGCGTGGTCGGCGCCGCGGCCCCGGCAGTGACGCGGCGCCGCGAGGCCGGCCGGACCTCCGGCGCGGCGGGTGCGGGCGCGGCGGGTGCGGGTGCGGGGGGTGTGGGTGGTGCGGGGGGAGCGACGGTGCCGACTACCCGGCGGTTCACCACGGGCTTGCGCCGCCGGTTGCCAGAGCGACGCGGGGGGCTGGCGGGCGCTGGCGCCGCCTCGGTGGTGGCCGGGGCCTCTCTGGCCGGGGCCTCGGTGGTCGGGGCCTCGGTGGTGGGCGCGGCGGTGACACGCCGCCGGCTTCCAGGCCGCGCCGGCCCGCGCACCACCTTCCTGCGTGAGCCGCCGCGCCTGACGGGGGCCTCCGTGGTGGCGAGCTCTAGCTGCGCGTCATCGACCGCTGCCGGCGCCGGGGTCCTGGGAGGGAAGCGGCCGCCCGGGCGGCGACCACCGCCCGGACGCCCGGTGGCGGCACCCGCGGACGCCCTGGCCGGGGCCGCGGGCGGCGGCGGCAACAGTCCTGCGAAGTCCTGGAAAGAGAACCGGGCTGGTGCCTTGGTCGTTGGCGCCGGTGTGGTTGTAGGAGCGGCGGTGGTGGGCGCTGGTGTGGTGACCTTACGGTTCTTCTCGTCGAACGGGTCCGCCAGATCGACCTGGCCCGTCTCCTGCTCCTCAGCAGTGAGCTCGCGCAGCAGGAAGAAATTCTTGTCGACGATCAGGTTGGCCACCACCCTGAAGGGCTTCTCGAAGTCCTTTGCATACTTCAGCTCCTCCTGGCCAGTGACAAAAGCACACAGCAGCACAACGGCAGCTGAAAACAGGAAATGAAACCGGTCAAAGGGAGCATTTTGCAGTACTCGACTTAAGACCTTGTGGAAAAATATATGGCAGTTTCATTTACATGATATCAATGAACGTCACTTCCCCTTTTGTTTACAGACGTTCATTGATACCATGTACATACCTACACACATACCCGCGGTCTCGTTAGGAGCATCTCCCAGATGAAAAAATGACAATAGGTTAATGCACACACTTAAGTAATGTTGACCCCGTTCGGGGTGCGTGTAATGTTATCAGAACTTATTATCGCTTTATGAATATATGATAAACGAATAATGCAACCAATCAGAAAAAGCAGCAGCTTTCTGAATAGGCGGAGGATCGTTTCGGAAACTGAGATGCTAAAACATTTCTTTCCATGCATGGCCGTAGGGTCAATGCTCAGTACTCCCGGAGGATGGGTGGGCCATACCCCCCTCCCCCCCCCGTTCCCACGCCTATATAATAAAGCCACGCTTCTGGCTTTATGGTTCATTTATGCTATATTTACTCACATATTCACTTGCAGTAATGTAAACATGCACTAAACATCAAACCTGCATGCTAGTTTACCTTCGTCATCTTGTTTCCTATCATTTATGACCTACCATAAGACAAGAACAAAAACAAAAAGACCAACATTGAAGAGTTTGCAATGTGGAAACCTGAGAGCCACGCGTGCGAGTCTCGCGCACAAAGGCGCAAACGATCATTGCAAAACGATTTAATGACCACCTCGTGCCCGGGCACTCTCACGTCTTACTCTCGCGTAAGAAACGTGCGTCGGCCACCAAAGGCCGTGGATGCGCGCGACGTTCCCCTCGCGAGCAGCTCGGCGCACCGATGGTATCAGAGTGGTCGGCATTGTTGTGGGCCCTCAGGCGTGCCAGGCTTACGCCGCCTCGCCGCAGCCTTTCGCCGGATGGCAGCCGACAGTCGCCGCCGTGTCGGGTGTCACGAGCTCCATTGTGAGGTCGCACCGGATGGTAGCCGACAGTCGCCGCTGTGTCGGGTGCCAAGAGCTTCATTGTGAGGTCGCGCCGGATGGACGCAACTTCCGTGATGTTTTGATGCGTTTTGCCTTGCTCATCACACGCGCCCCACTACGGTCAGGCACCTGGCCGCGCATTATGAAGTCTAAAAGTCGTGACGGTCCACATACTTTTACTGGCACTATGCTGCGCAGGGCGGCAGTCATGATGCATTAACACTGATGTCTTAAGACATACAGAGCACTGGTCACGATAGAGGCAAGAAGCTGTTTAAAGTATGCCGCGTCCAAAAACTCGTCATGTTGATCCAGTGTGATACGCCAAAGGCATGCATCATGTTTAAACTTTTTATGTTTAAAGCCGCCTCTCGCTTTTTTATTTTAGATTGCGATAGAGCCCTTTCGTCCCGTAATGACCATTTCAGAGATATGGGATGAAGGAGAGTGGATAATGATGAAGTAAAGCTACATGCACCTGTGTGCCCATCCACCTCGACTTGGTTCGCACAGGGACACGTGTGCTGCATGCGCTCGATGCTCGGACGTGCGTCCACCAGCCGGCATCAAGCTCACTCCTGGCCGGTACATGTAGTCTGCACCCGACGTACGGGGCACCGCCAGAATGCAGCATAAGGCGAGAATAGGGAAATAACGGCGGGTGTGCTTTCCTCAAAGTACCCGTCTTACGACTTTGTTGCCTGTGCGTCGTTCCAGTCAGATTTGATAAGTGTCGCGCGCGTGGCCAGTTGATGATAAGTGTCGCGCGCGTGGCCAGTTGATGATAAGTGTCGCGCGCGTGGCCAGTTGGAGAAACGGGGCGGATAAGTGTACTCCGCGCGGGAGTCGCTCGCACGTCTCACGTGAGGAACAGAGCAGAGGTCCTCTCTCCGCTAAGTGATCTACCAGGTACCATTAACCGCAGAATGCGACCGCGGGCCACGTGAAGGCGTTCTCACGCGCGGCAGGTCTGCGGTGAATGCCGGGAGCGACGACCTTGACCCGGGTCGCGGGGGAGTGTCGCCGGTGCCGTTATGGACGGGCCAGCCGCGTCCGGTCGTTTTTGTGCGCCGGTGTTTGTCGCTGACCAGTGAGGTGGGGAATGGAAGGCTGGGGCCCACATGCGAGGAGCGGCGGCCGACAAAAACGGCCTGGGAAGCCGGCAGACGCGGGCGAGGCACGCATGTTTGCCGGGCTTGGGTAATGCCCGGTCAGGGATGGTGCGGCGCTGCTGGCTCCCGGCAGCCAACAAACGCTTTCTGTCGTCCCCTACTATATGTCGATGCATCTTAAGTAAAGAAGCATGTCTTTGAATGGGATGGGCGGGCATGGAGTGCATGCTTAATGTCGGCGAGTTGTGCAAGGGTTGATGCATGTTCGAACGTGCAACAGACATCGGGGATGTTCCACCACCTGCCACGTGGCCAACGAAGAGGCGAAGGCCGGGCCTATCTCGCGATACCGATCTTCACGCGCGCTTATCAAGTGGCTGAACGACATAATAGCCAAGATACGAAATACAATTCACTGCTGGTTTTGTGGAGAAGACCTCCAGCACAGCGACATAACGTCCACTTGCCCCGGGCTCCTCGACGCTCACGTCATAACAAAGACATCATTCAAAGGCTGTTTGTGTGGTGTTGTACGATCATGCCGAGCAAAAGCCTGCGTGATATATGCTTTTCCATGCAAGGAGGACACGACCTGAATGATGATCGTACGGGGCGCAGTTTATCTCTCGTAAACCTTGTTCCGCAGATTGCAGAAAATCTCCATCGGTGTGAATGCATTGATGACGTCTAAAGATGTCCATATAGTTCTACACATTTGGTAGCCACCTTCTACATCTGCCGGTGTGGCTTTGTGCGGGCGTGATTGTCATGATGCACGCAAGTGTTTTCCGTGGCGCCTGGACAGTCTGGAACAGGTCGATATTGAATATGGTCGTTGATTTGTTTGTGAAGCGCACGTAATGACTAGTACCTGATCTACTGGTGAGTGGTGTTTGTGCCTGCTTGTAATGTGCCTGCGCATGCAACCCTGCTATTGGGCAGCATTTGCAAGCCTTTATTCAAGATACAAAGCGCTAATAAAAAACATTCACGAAATGTTGTTAAGTGAAAGCTAATCTTATACCTTCAATGTGTAATTAATGTTCCCACGATGCAAGCCCAATGGGTGGTGTTTTTCGCATCACGCAGCTACGAATTAAGCATTGCGTGCGTCTAAGCATTTCATACTTTGCACCGTCTGCAACGAGAGGTGAGGGACCATCTTTGATGATACGCCATTAGCTGAATGACATGTGACGCGGAGTTGCGTTTCATTCGTATTTCAGGAGGGGTTGAAACTTAGACATGCGATGTTTTCTAACGACGCGATGCTTGTGCATGGATTGAAGCCTATGTGCGTAGGCAATCGGCACCGGCCTGGGGCCGGCAAGCTTTAGCTGTTACCCGCACTGGTGCCAGCTTCAGTGTACTCAAAGCAGGCCAACATACTTGGGAAACATTGTGCATTACATATGAACATCAGGCATATGAACGTGAGGAACGTCTGCAGGAAGAACAAGCCTACCATCGACTCACGGTCAAATGGCCAGAACAGATGAGGCGTGCCTACCATCGACTCACGGTCAAATGGCCAGAATAGAGGAGGCGTGCTGACCCGGCTCGTGCTAACAAACGCAAACTTTAACCATAAGAGGCTTGCATGTGTTAAACATGTCGAATTTCAAGAAAAAGGCTAACGGATGTGGCAACTCATCTCCATCCCGACTGGTTAAATGACGTTTAGCCTCCCAATCTCTCAAAACGGCACATGCAATTATCTCAGCCAATCGCAATGATGTTTCTTGTGGCGGTCCATTGTGCACGTTCGCCACGTTATTCACGTTACACGAAGTTCCCGTAATCTTCCTTGAATATCGTTCCAACTTGCATCTCTTTGAAGGATATAAAATGCAAATAACTGTCATATCTGTAACCAAAACCTTCGTGCCGCGTAACATATCACAAAGGTCTTGATGGATTTTCGACCGAGGATAAGCAGGGGCGTTGCGGTGCCCCCTGGAATTTGCCGTCTCTAGAAAGGGGAGGTTTTGGGACTCTTCGTGACGCTCTGGAGTTGGATGCCTTTTGAAAATATAAGTGATCTTCGGAAATAAAGGTGTTCGGCGTCCCGTCGCCGAGCGGGTGATCCACGATTTGGTCAGGATAGGGAGAGGGGCACATAAATTGGGGTGTGCGCTGTAATCTGGTGTTTCTAAAAAAAAAATATGGGTCCTTTGGGATGCCCCTAGAATTTAATGCGTATTCAAGGTAAAGGTTGCGTTGCTGCGAAATGCAGGCTTTGGTGCTCCTTCACCTTGCCACTCGGGTGCCCCTTCGGGGTATGGCATGGATGGATATCGCAACAGCATGGATGGCCCAAGAGAGAGGGGACATGACCCCGTGACCTCCCATCTGAATCCTTATTGCTTGTTGCTTTTTCCTTATGGATTATTGCTTCTTGCAAACAAGATTATAGTGTTCAAAAGTGAAGCTTTGTTGACCCTTATCCAAGGAATTTCCGCTCCAGGATTTCGGCAGGGAGAAAGGCACAACATCGTTATGCCGCTGGAATCTTGTGCACCTTGAGAATAAAGGTTTTGGGTCCCACATGGTGCCCCATAATGATGGCTTTGGCGCCCATTTGCCCAATGGGTCGATCTAGGATTTCACCAAGGGACAAGTGGTGTTCACAGACATTGTGGTGTCGCAGGAATGTACTGGCTCTCGAAAATGGAATTTGGGGGCTTTTGTGGTGCCCATGGATTTGTACATCTTGAAAATAGACATTGTGTTTTTGAAATAAGGGTTTTGGTGCCCCTTCAATACGATAGTTTGGTGCCCTTTTGTAGGCCTGTTCGGTGAAACAAAAGCTTCTGTGTGGCCCAAGGGGGAGGGGCATGCCCCATACTCCTGACGAGATCTGAGTCCACCCTATATTGGTTATATTGCCATCAAACGAATCGGACCACCGCCTGACACGTTACCCGTCACATTGTGAATAACATTAAAAATGTATCATAATTAGTTGATTATTTGACATTGATAAAAATCTGGCGTGCAGATGGCTTCAACCTCACAAGCCCATTGTAATCTATAGGCGTTATGCATAGTTAAACAGACACTAAGCTGTGACTTGATATTCACTCACCTAAATCAGCGGGAAATTATGCGCAAGTTGACGCATGGATTGGTCACACAAATCAATCCAGCGGAGCGTTATCCAGCGTAATGACCTAACACAGCATGATCGGATCAGTTTCCTCCAAGAGGTACCACAGACGGCTTGTCCACGAGGATAAAAGCGAAACAATCATGGGTCGAAGAGTCATAGGTCCTGCTTTCATATTCTCTGCCGATATTCTGTAAACATTTCGGAGCAGCATGCCATTATTTGAGTAGCATCAGCAATTGTGTATGTATATGTATATGTATATAACAAATGGACAAATCGGCCGTCCTATCAAGTGTTTTTTTTTACAGCAACGCTTAAAACCAATGTATCACGCAAAATATTAGTGAAATCGATTCTTGCATGTATGTCATTTACACATTTACGTCATTTACACTCAAACGAGGAAAGTGACTCATTGAGTTGCACGCCGATTGGTAAAACATTCGCCACCTTTTCTCACACTACGAAAGACATATAACGGAAACAGGCGATATGTAATAATATGTATGTTCACAGCATATAAAATATGCTGTGAACCTCCTTCTGTACGTTGGAAAGAAGTCATGAGTACAGACTGCAGATTGGTGTTGAGAAGCAACTCCGCAAGCCTGACTGGCGGCTGCGCGGGTCGGCAAGGGCTGTCGGCACTCCCAGCCGACCGTCACATGGCTGGCCAGGCGGCGGTCAGCTGACACGCGTCTCCAATACTGACCTAGCCGAAGCGGCGTCATGGCGGGCCGTCGGTGGACGTGCGCGAGCTGAGGCGGTCGCGGCTCGACTGACCGCTGACGGAGGCGCTGGACGGAGCCTGGCAGCGGGCACCCAGCAGTGAAAGGTCGCCCGACCGCAGCATCCCCCACCGCCGGCTGGAGATCCCCTCCCCTCCCTCTCCCCTCCCCCCGGCCGTGCCAGCCACGGCCGCCGCGCCGTCACCGCCTCTCACGCCGATCCCCGGCAGGGACCGGCGGCCGCCTCCACCGCCGCCGCTGCCGCCGCCGCGGGGGCGGGCTGCGCTGGTCGAAAACGGAACGCTGGCTCCGCTCCGATAATATGATAATCACGACTTATGGGCGCGACGACTATGTGGCCATTTCGCGCCCTCTCGAAAACTCTACTGCATGTCACTCGGTAAGAACAGTCGCTGATATATTGCGCCGCACTTCATCCGCATACCTGTACGGCTGGACGGCTATAAGCGAGTACGCCGACGACATCACAGCAGGGGTCCCGATCCAAGAGCCGGGAAAGGGACGCTGGGATCGGGTAGCACAGACGATCTCAGGCATAGTGACGACGGGAGGTGAGGACATGTTCAACGGTCAGACGCTCGCCACATCCCTCGCACTGGGGCACGTCCTGGCCCGGTAGGTAAAAAGCGTGCGTAACGTAGGTGTGCCCAAGCCGGAGCCGACAAAGAGCAGCCTCCCCAAGTATTCTATTCAGATGAGATGATTCCCATGCGCCAGTCAGTGGTTTAATGGTCTTGAATACGTGATTTCTGTCGTCAAAATGATTTTGTCACCTGCCATGATTATTGCTGGTAACTAGCGACCTCAGGTCACCCACCGCCAAGTTGAATGGAAGGGGATTATCTCGGCATGCGGCTTCCCTCACTGCAGCGTCTGCTCTTTCGTTGCCCACAATCCGACTTGGCTAAGAATCCATATGGAGGCAATTCTAACGTTTCGGCGGAGTAATTTGTTAAGTCCATCCCGAACAGATCGTGTGAGGTGAGGGTAGTCGCGAGATACTGACGTTGGGTCTTAAGATAAAAGGGCGCTGAGCGAGTCAGTTAACATCAGCCAGTCATCATGCGGCTCTGACTCACGGGCGCTACCGGCGATGGCTTGATGGCATGCCTCAAAAATAGCTGAAGCTTGCTCCGAAGTGTGCAAATCCGGATGGATTCCACAGGCTGAAGGTGGTGCACGAATGCACGAGAGTAGCAGGGAAGTGGTGCAATGACCACTCGTGCAAGTGATGCAACGGTCCGTTTTTCAGCTGATTTGATAATTAGAGGGCTATTAAAGCAGATATCGATGGCCATCTTGATTATGGGCCGATGCGCATGTGACCGCCATTTGCGTGGCATCCGTTGCAAGATGTTCCAACGTTATTAACACGCGCCCAGGTGGCCGGCTGGATACCCTTCGCTCGGGTGAGGGGCCAATTCCCCCCCCCCCCTGAGATCTCGGGAACTAAGAGAGCTAGACAAATTTGGTTTACAGGGTGTATAGACCTGCACGTGAACTCACTTAGTTCAAGTTTTGAGGTTCCTAGGCCATAATCTTCGGGTCAAATAAGGCCAAACAAGGTCAAATTCCAGGTTGTTCTTCAAAGTGCCCCCAGAATCTAAATCACTGATTCTAAGCAAAAGGTCACATGATCATGTAAAATTAGTGGCCTTTTTTGACCTCTTGAAGGTCATGGTGACCGAAATCATACAAGCTGCTTTGAGTTTTGCATTTGAATAAGCGACAAAGATTACGCTAGGCAACATGTTCCGAAAAAAAAATGCAGACCCGGGTCATTTTGGGTCAATGACCTATTCTGACATGTAAAAAATCCATGGAAGATGCACAATGCGGTTCTTGCTATCAATTACTTTGAAATGAACACCAGAAACTACCCCATACAGCAGGTCATCGAGTAATAAAACAGGTTGGTTTTGACCTTGGTCTGACCTTCATACCTGACCTTAGGTCAATGTAACTTGCTCATTCAGCTGTTGTGTTGTCTAAGAAATAATCTCAGAGATGTATGGTTTTGTCTAACACTCCGTCGTTGCATCAGATTGAACGATCCCCTAGAAATTGACATCGCTGAATCCATGGCCTGATTTTGACCTGCCATAGGTCAGCGGGCCTTACAAGGTACATTCAAATTTAAGATGCCAAATGATTTGCTATTCATTGTCTTCAGCCATGCAAAATTTGACGTGGCTAGCCGATCCGTTCCGAAACCATTCCGGAAAAATATTGGGGAGGCCGATGTGACCCTCCCCCCATCCAAGCGCGTGTTAATGCTTTACTAGTTACGTGTGCGGACAAACAATGGGGGAAAGATATGCATGCGAACGTATGATGTGCGTGTGCTGCAGGTGGAATACGCACATCACCCCGCTCAACATAAAATTGTATGTCTACGCAATGTGTCCTATCGCGAGGCGTTCTTTTTATCAATAAATTACTTTCAAGCGCCGTCGTTCATCGTGCCAAAGCTCGACGCTGAAGCTTCGATAGACTATAATGATCGTAAGGGCCATTCCCACGCGTTTGACCAAGTTTCTCAAGTGTCTGCATCAGATGTGTCACATCTTTTTCAGGCTGTGCGTTTACTTACGCGCGTCTTTTGCTTTTTGCAGGTTGGTTATTTGCCGTCTGTGTTCCGTGCTGCCTGTGTCGTCCTGCCGTCCGTGATGCACCCGGACTACGACGACGAACGGCAGACGAGGCAGCGTATTCGGGGCAGTGCCTGGCATGTCTACAACTTTTTGTTAGGAGCTACAGAAATGCCTGCACATTGTGACTATCCCATTTGCTGCCGACACAAAGCCAAGCACGCTGCTCCTTGCAGCCGGTAAAACTGCCATTCAACTGACTCTCAAATATCCGCTACGGGTTAGCTGAAACGAGCGTGAATGCAGAGGTGCGCTCACGAGCCCGGGGTGGGGTGAGGTGGGGTAGGATGGGGCTTTAGGGAAGGGGCGGGGAACGTCTGGTCACAGCGTTCACTTTTTAGATGCGCCAATAGAAAGCTAGTCATTGCTTAAGCATTTAGCATCATAGCATTTCACGCTGGATTACGACCAATTTCTGTTCAAGATGTGCTTGATGATTTACTGACGCTTTGCAACAAAGACATTTCGTCAATAACATATTAAGCTGCAATTAGCACCAGACACACGTATGTCAAACTCTCCACACAATGGATCCCGTTGTTTATTTTTCCTCCGCTGCGATATGAAAGTGGAAGACTACACTCGTTGACCGTTAACGCCTGATATAAACTGCACATCAGTCAGATCACGGCCACGCGGTGGAGACGTTATTTAAAAAGTTCATCCACGCACGCAATTGGTGTTTGGGCTTACCGTCTTCCACTGAATAAAACACTTACCTACTCGCGATCAGATCCTTCATCATGCCAGGGGCATGTGAAGGAGTTTCTGAAGATGAAGATGATGGAGGTGTGTGATCAAGTGTCAGCGAAGGGTTGTGAGGCGTGTTAGACAAGGTGATGAGTATTTCGAGACGGGCAAACTTTCGGCGGCTCGAAGACGCAAGGTGGAAGCGACAATGACAAGGTTATAGAATGAAAAGAGCAATCTAATAAACAAAGGTAAATGTTGCGATTTCGCTCAAAAGAAAGCGTTATTCTACATGACCTAGATAGCAGCCCCAGTTGAGTACTCTGAAGAACGAAGGCTCTTGACAGGTTAGGAGACGGGCTTGTGTTTATAGGTTTGGCTTGAAAGCCAAACCAGGACACGATAACAAACGCGGGAGGGCCGGTATTGCGGGAAACAGTGCGGGGCCGTGAAAGAGCCTGAGGTGGAGCCGGAGTCGTGAACATGCCACTTTGTACGCTTTAGAACACTAGGATGCTAAACATTACTAGGGTATAAAAACTCACTTGTTTATGGTTTAATCCATTAACCACTGGGATGCAAAACATAATCATCAGTTCGATGTTCAGGAACTTTTTTATTAGCGACGAAGCGAAACGATTTATTTGCGCATAGTGTTTTTACATTCATATTCTTCGGCGTATGTGCACATTAACGGCTTATTTACTTGGCACTTTCTGCTTTCCCCGCATCGTTTTAACGCTTCCACTTTTGACATATTCAACTGCTAGTGTTGTTGCCGTTCACATATATTTGTACAACGGCGATGCATATAGCTGTTTTGTCCAGCCTAAAGTGTATCTTGATTTCTAACTATCTGTCAACAGCCATCAGCGGTGCTAAAATTGAAAAAAGTGCTGAGCTAGGGAGGAAAGGCAACTCCCTCTTCATTGGTTGTAATCACTTGGATCGATTTCCATGCAGTCAGGGCGTTGGTGAATTTTCTCGTGGTCGTGCAAGGATGCTACAAATTGTATTCAATGACGTAATAAAAAGCTGAGCTCGCTTCTAGTAGCGGGGGGGGGGGGGGGGCGGAAGTCTAGGTCGTGATGGACTCCCATCCCTTAACTGCGCTGTACTTGCTGTTCAGATAAGCAAACGCTGCCCCCCCCCCCCCCCTCCACACTGGAACTGCAAACCAACTATTGTTCAACAAAATACCACTTTATGCGCCAGAGGAAGGCACTCGGGATCACAATGTTCGAATAGCCCAACACACGTGGAAAACAGGAGGTATGCCTGACCCTGGGCTGACCTTCGGTGCAGACTTGACATTCTCAACACCGTAATAAACAAAGAGATGTGTAGCGTACTGTGATCAAGCCCAAATTGTCCTCCAAAAGACAATAAGTGACCTACAGCCATGAAGGCGTTTTGAGCCTCTCCGGGCGAAGGAAAAATTACACCGTAAACCATCAGCCCTGACAACGTAACCCATAGAACGGAAGTTAGCATACGTAATGTTCATGCAAGGGCAGTATAATTCCACTTCTTGGGATGCTGTGTGCAGATAATTAGATAGCAAATAGACTGGGTTTGGGTAAGGCCCTCGTTCTGACACACAGGCTAATTGTTGCCACCTCAATGACAAAATGCGGTATCACCTGCCACTGCCAGCCACTCATCGCGAGGCTCAGCCGTTCAAAAACCTTTCTA